CAAAAATTATGGTCTTAGGTCCTTCACCTAATATTTTATTGTTCAGTGCAAGGGAATAGGCTACCATTTCTAGTAGATTGCCAGAACCACGTTCATAGAACAATTCAGGCCTTCATCGCCTCGAAGTTAGGATGGGACTAAGACACTCAGCCGGTTTCTTGTTCTAGATACAGCGCATTTTCGAAGCATTTGTTTAAACTTCCTGATAGTAATATCAACATGGACGCATTGCAGCTATTCTTACATAACAGCAACAATTTAATGTAGTAGCTCCATATTCAGTATGGCGTTACGTATTCTAAAAGTGTACGTCTGTTGGATCTTCTAATAAAGAAAACGGAAAATAACTGCGTAGAAGCAGCGTTAATCATTTTGGTATCATAAATCAGCGTAACACGAGATGTGAACTGCGTCCGACAACATTACAAGTTATACATCATACGACTGTGTCGTTGACTTTGATAATTGCCAGATTTTTACGTCCTGGAAATACGCTTTGAATTCGACTGGTTGACGACATGGTAAAAACGAAAGTTTCGGTCTGAAAATTTTAATGTATTTTAAAGAATAAATTCTAACCTTTCGGAACCCTGCTGTAGCAGCCCGAACTGTCGCTGCTCTTAACAGTGAGGCTGTGGGACCACCGCGTCATGCAATATCCCCTTCTCCCGTCCCTCTAAACATTCAAAGAGTAGGCGGGTTGCTAGCAACCATGACCTCCCCACAGTCGAACATTATCCTCCGCCAGATGAATCTGTAGTTCGTATCTGCAGGATCCATTTTAATATCACAAACAGGTGTACCAACCATATTTTATACGCTCCTTTATCGGACGTCGTGGCCAAATGGTGAATACGTAATCCCCATTGGTTTTCGGCAAACCCCGCATTCCAGTCTCCACCGGAGACCGGCTATCCTAACTTACGTTTTCCGTGGTTTGCTTCAGTCCCTGTGGACGAATGCCGGGATAGCAGTGTAATTTAAAATAGGACACAAGCGCCTCCTTGCAGATCCTCTCCAGTTCATTGTTAATTATTCATCCTATGATTCGAAGTTTTAGTCCTGTAAATAGCCGGATCTACTAGCGTCTTTAAATAAACTACGATAAGACGACCTGTACATTTTATCCGACTACATTCAATCACTTTTAAAGATGCACATTAGGCGAAGAGCACCCAACAAATTACGAAGCTCCACTCCCCTTTTACTCCATCTTTCTTTGTTGAAAACATTTGTCTTTCTCAGGTACCGCGTATCCGTGTCAGCTTCTCAGCCTGCGAGACCAGAATTGACTCCAGCGCCTACTCACTGGAGCAGATGCACAGCGCTCAACCAAAGCTGAGGTCCCGACTCAACACTGAATCAGTTCCCTGCACCTCCCAACCCCTTCTCGACGTTTTCCCCAAGTCCCAAGCGGTTGCTGTCGCAGAATTCTGTCTACTCAGCCGAGCGTCGTAGATCTCGCTAAATCCGCTAGATAAATCGCCCAGTCCCTGCGAAACTGCTCTCTGACCTCGTCCCGCTGAGCTCCCGATGTTCTGTTACTCCTCCTGACCAAGAGACCGTAGCCCCTAACGCGTTCAACCTGCAGTCGGGACGAACTGGACTCGCGTTGCTTAACAGCGTGTGCGCGCTCAGTGTGGGAGCGACGGGTCACTTTGCGGTTAAACTTCACCTGAAAGGTCACAGTTCATCCTACTGGTGCGACCCGCTCGCCAAGCGAGAAACCACAAGATCAGATTTCAATTCTTTACCACGTCACGTTCCGGCCAACTTCACCTCACAGCGACGTTAAGGACACTTGCAAAACAAAAGCTTAGTTAAGTAACCTCTTTGTTTAAGCACCTTACTATGAAATCGTATAGGGGGCATGGACGTAAGGCTCCACGCGTTCTTGGCGTCGGTAGGCCTGCACACCCCGGTCGTTTTTCAGCTCCTGATGTACCCCTCAGGTGATAAATTTGCTCAGCAAGGGTACACAGGTGTGGCGTCTTCTCCTAAGATCTGTAATTGTTATGTAAACATCTGGTGCAGTTTCAGTTTGTGGTGGGCTAAAAAAAGTCAATATTTTATCACCGCTACGAATTTAAATCTAAAATATGCGACCAGAATAAGGAATTGAGTGAGCTAAAGCGGCTTATGAGATTTGAGGTTTTTACGGCGGTGGGGATGATAATGTTTTGAGGGCTTCAGGTGGATTCGTCCATGAGTCGACATGCCGCCAAAACCCAGAATAACGTCTTATCAACTCATACATCTAATGCTTTCAACAGAAGTAAATTACGTACACACCATCAACGACAGTCTATGAAAGTTTTTCATAAATCTTAAGCATAAGAATAAATTACTTTAACAGATTCCAGGCACGGCAGGAAAACTGGCGCGAACTGCCTTCCTGTGTTGCCACATATTCGTCTTGTAATTCTGAATAAAATCTTTTCGCCTTCTTGATCGGTTCGTCATCTCTCAAAATTTGTCAACGTTAATTTATTCTGGGAGCCTACGTATAAATATCACAAACAGAAGTGCACAAAACCTTCCTGCAGATTGTCACAAAGAGTTTCATTTGCCTGGAGGTAAATTAGATAAAAGTAACATTTGAACGCGAAATTAAGCCGAAACCAGCAACAGATTTATAACATAACCGGACAGACCACTACAGCCGAATTAGTCACATGACAGTGTTCCAGAATTTTAGTATGGAAATTCTACAGATATTTGATAGCCAACGGAAAGAATGTTCTTGATTAAATTATGGGACGAGAAAAATCCAGAAACTATTCTTAATCTGCCAGTCATTTCGGAAAGGTTTTGCTTTCCAAAGCGCTGAAGAACAGGATGCAGTTGTATATACGAGCACAAATTGCAAATGTCTGCAAAGTCTGGAGGTGGATAATAGTGAATAGTCATCGGGCAATATAAGGCGTCTTGTTACGTAATGACGAATCTGACGCTGTTAGGATATTTAACGGTCTGAAGTGACGAACGCTTGTGTATGGGCTAGGATGAAGAGGGAGGGGAGCGAGACAAGAAATACGCACAGAAGTTTTGTGGGGAATCTCTTGGAAAGAAACCTCTTTGAAGACGAAGGACAGAGAATAACATTAAGATTCATTTTACACACAAAACAAAATGAGATGGATGCGACAGGCCCATTATGACTACCCACCGCATTAGATTCTGCAACTCAAGTGCGCCGGAAGACTATTCTAACTCCGTTCAGCAGTGCTGCTCAGAAGCAGGATTTGCAGTGTTTGGTGACTGGAGAAAATCACGTAAACTTACGCAAAACAGTCCGTCAGGGTGACTGAGACCTTGACGAAGATTGTGAAGGGGTGCAAAAACACAGTGACCCGACTAATTCACGACGGAGGTTCACTGGACCATGTAGGCCATAACATACTCTAATTCTAGTGTTTAAGAATGGACCTGCAAACATGACGGGCCATGAAGATTCCTTCTGTACAGTTCGGAACTTCATTTCTTGAGAGGTATTCACTCGAATCTCGACGGAGAACTTCCTTTTCTTGTTGGTTATCCCCGTTTCTTCCTGATGAATGCCAGAATAATGCCTTCAGTTTCTAATTCCTCGTCCTACAATTCGCTGCTCGTAATGGCGTTAAAAATTTGGGCTTTTCGTCATTTAGGCATACGGAAAAATCTCCGCACAGGAGGAAGGACTGGATGAGCGAAAGGGAAAATGATTTGCTGACAGACAGACAGACAGACCTACGCACCCAAAGCAGGTGATAAATGCGTCGAGACACGTGGTCGGGGGCACGCAAGCCATCGGTAGGCCGGATTTCCTCGGCCTCTGCTAGCAAATTCTGCTCTGGACTGAGGCCACGGAGACGGAGACCCCAAGACAAAGGACACTTGAACCCCCGGCTCGCTGCAAATGGCTGGGTACACAGAGAGCGGTGTGACTTTCACGGGCAAACACTGAAGCAGTTTCGCACAGGAAACGCGAGGTTTGGTGAACGAGGAATAAAACAAAAGAAGGGCGTTGTTTGCGGTTAGCGGTCGGCAACTGTCTTGGAACCCTTGTTTACGGTCCCGCATTCATCTGTTTGGCCATTCCGTGGTTAGCATCCTAACCTTACCGTAGCAGGGCAGATAAAGGCAAAGGTCGACATTTGTATTCCGAAAGTAACCGACTATCACGAGCGAGTGCTTCCGTGGTTTTCGTCAGTCTCTTTAGGCGAACAGAGAATCTACATTGAAATGAGCCGAAAGCACTTTCTTCCAGACTCTAAATCATTCGCCGTTCAATGCAACCTTTCCATCTTTTTCGATTAGAATGACGTTTGTCGCTGAAGTAGCATTGTTAAATAATCGGACAACCGATTAATAATAAGCTGAGTGAAAATAAATGGAAAGAAAGTAAGTCACGACAGTTGATAATGCGTCGTTTAATAAGCGACTGCCTGCGGGGCGCTGGATTCGCCGTCAGAGGGCGGGAGTCGATTTCACTTTCTCACGCCGTGTCAGTGCGTCTAATTATCGTCGTGCTTTTCTCAAAACCGCCTCAACGCGAAGCAGAGTTGCCCTCGAGGCACACGAATGAGCGATCCATCCGCGACTCTCAGCCACTGCTTAGACATGCCCTGTCCGTGCGTCGACTGGATTTTGAACAGACCTGAGGCTTGTACGAATCGTGCGCTGTGACTCATCGTCAGTTTGCAGTGACGAGGTGGACGTCCGTCGGGCTCTGTGGTCGCGGAGCTGCGGTTTGTGCCTTCTCATATCCGCAACCACGCAATTCTGCGGACATGTTTCGAATATCTGAGGGGGGAACACGCAATTATCACGTCCGATGTTTGGTTTGTTGCGTTGAGTGCGTGAACAGTCAGCTGGCTCCGACCGCGTGAGAAGAAACGGATTCAGGAATCGAACCCACGACCCGCAAAGCTTCCAACGACCTCGACTGCGGACGCAAGCAGACGCGGGCCGCCAGATGGCAGCAGCGGCCGCGCAGGCGAGCGGACAGCCTCGGCAGGCAGGTAGCGAGGTGCTGGCCGCAGAACGAGAACAGTTGCGCATCGTACAGCGTGCACATTCTCCGCGTTGTGGCCGACTTTCTGATGAGTGTTGCTAGCCTGGTTTCCGTGCGGTAGGTGACTCATGCCCGCTCAGGTGTCTCGGCCCCTCGCAATGCAAAGTGGCGGCGACCAGAGTGCCGACAAGCTCCTGCAGCGGTCCCTGCAGAACGTGGCGCTGTCCCTGCAGAACGCCGTGATGTCGTCCCTGCAGCAAGCGGCGCTGCTGCCACCCAGCTCCGCGGCCGCCGCGGCGCTAAATCTGCAGGCCCTGGAGTCGTATCTCACCCTGCAGAGACTGCAGGCGTCCAGCACTGCCCACAGCCCGGCGCTGGACGTCCTCAGGCTCGACCCGCCTTCCACCGCCCCCAGCAAGGCGCCCCCGCAACAGTATCCGGCCTACAATTCGCTGCTCATGAATGCCATGTACCAACACCAGGCGGCAGCAGCAGCGAGCAGCATGTTGTTACAGCAACAAGCAGCGTCCACGTCTTCGACGACAGGGTCGAGGGCGTCCACATCGGCGTCTCGCCCCAAGAAGCAGTTCATCTGCAAGTTCTGCAGCCGGCAGTTCACCAAGTCGTACAACCTGCTGATCCACGAGCGCACGCACACGGACGAGCGCCCTTACTCGTGCGACATCTGCGGCAAGGCGTTCCGACGCCAAGACCACCTCAGGGACCACAGGTATTTATTCAGACAGTAACCTCAGCGCAATTTCGTTTTCCATTCCAGTCTTCATGACTCGTGTTTCCACTTAATCAATCGCACGATTTCGTATTCAGAGGCTCGAGGCTTGTCGTCATGTCACAGTGAATAACCGCTGATGAGGCTGGCATGTGGGCGTTCGATCCTAAAGAATTCACGTCAACAGGCGCCGCCATCTTGTGACGGTCTGCTTGCTTGCGATCAGCTGTTTTTATGCAGGGCAAGCCATGTTGTTTATTGGTCGCCATCAGTGCCCCCTAGCGGGAGATGAATCTCTTCAGGAATCCACGGCTGATTCATTCCAATTTAACTCCGAGTTCTGCGATTCCTGGATCGAACCTCAGACCGCAGGGGCGTCTGTCGAAAAGTTGATTGGCTGCATTTCTGCCGGCCTGGCTCTACTGCCTACGCCAGACAGGCAAATGTTTAGGCAATTGAATGGAACACAGCACAGACTGAGTTCTCCCGTTTCACCCATTCGCGTGGCTACGTCTCATTTCTGTTCATGTCTACGCGAACAAGAGCGTCCACTTATTACCAGCGACAAGATGCAGAACAGTTCACAGTCAAATTACCCCTTACGTTGGCATTTCGTCCACAAACAATTTAAGAAGCCGCATTCATTTAGGGGAGAGACGTGTGTGTGCCGCGTAAATTAAGGATCCTGCCTTTTCACTCCTCATCGTGGCAGTAAACAAAATTAACACACACAAAAATAAATAAATAAATGAAAGGCTGGAGAGCGTAGCATTTGACAAGGCACAAAGCTTAAGTCCCTTTCCTCCAGAATATAAAAGCGGCCGGAGCTACAAGCTCCTTATTCAACTGGCGCGGTCGAGAGTCCCAGGCGACAGCCTGACCTGACTTCTTGTAAACAAACAGCCGTGAAGCGTGCAATGGTGATCTGTTAAATGGAACTCGAAGGTTCGTCAGCTCATCGCGCTGTTGCACCCTGCAACAAACAATTCAGAACGCGTCTCTCGTCCTGTCCATTTCATCCCTCATTTAAGCCTAACAACACAGAGCAACTGTCCGTGGGTTGGCTGCATTCGCCCACTCCCCCCTTCGCCGTCAGCAGACAAACGATTTGTTCTCCCTCAGCGTCGATACAAAGTTTCGAATTCATAAAATACGTTTTCACTGGGCGCGAAGAAACATCGTGCAATGAGACAGGAACTCGACGTTCGGGCGCCCAGAGCCGATGTGCCCCCGCTGGGATTCGAAGCCCTTCGTCTGGCCTCTGGTCACACCGAGCTATTCTGACTCATCACAAAGTGCCGTGTGGCAGCCTAATACGAGCAGGCCTAATTTCTTAGGAGTTATATAAACTTTAAAACCGCGCTTTGGACGGATTTGTTAAACATATTGACATGTTTCAGGGCCGTATGTAGAGGGCAGTGTGTGTCATGTATTCACAACAAGAGACGTTTTATCCACTAATTATCCTCTTTCAATCATAATTTA